CGGGGCGAGTCCGTCCGGTTCTTCTTCCATCTTTGTCTTGGAAGTCGAGCCTCCAGCGAGCCTGGCATTCGGCAATTATCTCGGCTCGAGACGTTCGCTAATCACTGCACGTTCCGGCTCACCATAAGTCCGGGGGAAATTTAGCTGTCTAGGATACCTAAGCTCTGGGGCAAAGGAAGTAAAACAAAAACTGAAAATACACCACTCAAAAAAAAAAAAAAAAAAAAAAAAAGACACCTCTTCATTCAATAAAGAAACAAATCCCACCTCTTCATACCATAAAACTCCACCATTCTTTTCCCCCAAAACAATAAAAAAAGAAAAGAAAAACCCCACCTCTTCATACCACAAAACCCCACCATTCTTTTCCCTCGGCGATGAGACAAGCAAAGTGCATCGTCCGCCCACATTAAGGCCAGACACGCGGCGGGGACGAGTGGGCGAGATAGCGGAGCCAACAAGCAACATTACGCGCCGCACAATGGCCCGCCCTCCGCCCTTCCCGCCGCCAAATGCCCCCAATGAAGAGTGAATGCTGGAGGAGGCTCAGAAGGAGGTTCGAGACTCAAGGGGTTTAGTCCAGGGCGAAGACAGGGGGAGAGGGAGCGAGAGAGAGAGTTAATGGGGATATTAATTCATTTATTTATTATTTCTCTCTCTCCTCCTCTCTCTCTCTCTCTCTCTCTCTCTCTCTCTCTCTCTCTCTCTCTCTTCTCTCTCTCTCTCTCTCCTCTCTCTCTCTCTCTCTCTCTCTCTCTCTCTTTTAATTCCTTGCCCTCCCTCCCCTTTCTACCCTTCCCCCTCTCTTTCACTCCTCTCCTCCTTCCTTTCTTGCCTTACTCTCCCGTTTTCCATCTCCTCCTCCTCCGTCCCCAGCCTCCTTCTCTCTCTTCTCTCTTTTACCTTGAGTGTAATCGGTGCAATGAAGCGAAACAGTATTGGTGTTTCGAGTAGGTCAAGCAGGGCGCGAGCGCGAGAGTTGGAAAAGGGAGACGGAGGAACGAAGTGGGAAGAGAGGGAAGGGGAGAGAAGAAGAGAAGAGAGAAGAGAGGGAAGGGGAGAGGAAGGAACGAAGTAGGAGGAGAGGGAAAGGGAGAGGAGGGAAAAGAGTGGGAAGAGAGGGAAGGAGGAATGGGGAAGCGAAAGCATAGGAGGAGGAAAAGGAGCGAATGAGATATGAAAAAGAAAATGAAAGAAAGGAAAAAAAGGAACCAGACGAAGAGGAAGAAAGATCGAATAAAAAAAAAAACAAGAATAAGGAACACACAAACAAGAAAACAGAAAGAAAAACCAAAACCAGAAAGAGGGAAGGAAAGGAGAAGCGAAGCGAAGGACTAAGCGTTCCTCGGCCGAGCAGTTCTCCCGAAGGATAGAGTTTCAGCGGCGCCCGCCCTGTCCCGCCCTGGCCAGGCACCGCGACGGGCTGACGGGTTCGGTCCTCTCGCGAATCGATATCTTTCGCGGGATTAGGACGATGACTAATCCAAGCTATGCAGGTCTTTTTTTGTATTACCGTTCATTCCAAGCGGGGACGTGACATTCGCCCTCCGAGTGCTGGGGATTCGCGTTCGTCCGCCAAAATCCCCGCGTAAATTTGCGTATATTTTGGTTTCGTTTGTGTTTGTTTTGGTTTGTTGTTGTAGCTGTTGTTGTTGTTGTTTTTTATATAAATTTG